TTTTAACTATCACACTTGCATGCTTGAAAAGTTCTTAGAAATTGGAACACTTGCAACCATTTTCTAAAACTTAGCAGGCCTAATAAAAGTTTTGCCTCAATGTAAACTTCAGTTAACTTGGTCTCCTTCTTCCCTTCCTCCTTCTCTCCTCTTTTGACCTTATAGTGTAATGTGTAGCCTGCCCTCCTTCCTTATAAAATAAGTAGGTTAGCCTAATAATCAGAGCTGGATCCAAAGGATTTTTTTAAAATCATTCTGAATTAAATAATGGAGATGCTACTATTTCCTTGTAAAACATGATGAAGTCTCAGTGAAATAACAGATCATAAATACTTCTATAAAGAAACAAGGAATTTGCAAGAAAAATCCAATCTGCTTTCTATACAATATCACAAATCCTGTAACTTTAAATTCATGCATTTGGGTGATAAAGTAAAACACAGAATTATAAAACTAAACACCAATTTCCTGGGCACTTTGATCTAATTACTTGGAAATAAGCCCCCACTTCAAAGGGCACTTGAAAGAATGATAGTGTTCCAGTCTAAGTTAAAACTAACATTTCTACTTACTACCTAATATGAATGCATATCTGACAGTCTAAACATCAGATTAAAATGGTATTACCTGGGTTTATTTCAGGGCAATTAAGGGCCTGAATGAATTAGCAAATGGTTTATTTTATGAATCAGTGAAATGTTAGCCTGTAACCTGACCAGCAATGATCACTCTGAATCTTTGCAACAAGCAAAGGAGCTTTTCAGTGTGAGATGTTTTCTGTTACTCTCTTTGATTAAAGCAGCATGTGGGACGTGCTCTGAAAAAATTGCAAATCAGGAACTTCAGTTTAACTGGGATGGGAATAAAGCTGCTATCTAATGATAAAAACTTGCTATGTTTTCCCAAAGACTTACTTCAACCCTGCAGTACTGAAGTTCAATTAATTCATCCTTTAGTGTTAAACACATCAAGAGATCAAAGTGTATTTGGTTTCATTCACTATCCATTAGGACTGTAGGCTCAGCCACCCTGATTCTGCAGAATTATAGCCTCTTAGTTCTAAATATGTTTCCAAAGAAAATAAACGCAATAGATTTCTTCATAAGTGTTCAAAGGGCACCTATTGATCATAGGCTAGATGGACTGAGCAGAATTAAAGGTCCTGGAATTCTACGCATTAGGTCATCAAAAACATTCTGCAAATTGAGACAACAGCAATAACCACACATGTGAGAGATATTTTATAGCATACCTATTTAACACATTTGAATTAATATGAACTCAAATACAGTTGCATTTCAAACGCTGGATGTGTCAGAGTTCAGTTCTCAGAATGTTTATGGGTGTGCAAATATACACATTTTGGGAAAAGCAGTGTATGGGAACTGGTTTCTCCAATATATGCTATGGAAAAGTGTTTGCAAAAATGTGCATGTTAGGAGTGTGTACCAAAACAGGCATATTACGAATAAAACCATTTTCTTCTGAAACTTAAAAAAAAAACATTCAAATTCATGTGGAAATGGGATGAAATGAACAAAATGAGAACTGGAAGGAAACCAGAATGGACACATTTTCCCATCCCTTATGCATCAAAGTTGCCAACTGTTTCTGCAGCATGAATGACTAGACCAGTGATTCTCAACCTTTTTGAAGCTGCCACCCCCCTAAGGAGCAGAAAATTTTTCAACGCCATCCTTTGTGAAAATCCTGTAATTTAGGGTATGGGGAGGTGGGGGGGGGGAGTTACTGAATTATAAAAGGCAAAAATTTTAAGTAATTTTTTTCAGTAGACTTACACACCAAATTTGTTCGATTTAACTCGATACTTTTGCCCTGGTTTACTGAATTATAAAAGGCAAAAATTTTAAGTAATTTTTTTCAGTAGACTTACACACCAAATTTGTTCGATTTAACTCGATACTTTTGCCCTGGTTTACTGAATTATAAAAGGCAAAAATTTTAAGTAATTTTTTTCAGTAGACTTACACACCAAATTTGTTCGATTTAACTCGATACTTTTGCCCTGGTAGGTAATTGGATTCCTTTTATTAAAATTAAAATGACTAATGCAAAAAAAATAAAGATAAAGAACTAATAAGCACACTTACCTAGCCGACTGGCTAAATAAACAATGAAAGTAAATCGAAACTGAGGGGAAAAAACAGAAATGAAGCGAACGAAAAGCAACTCAAGAAACACGGGTCAAACCAAACATTCATATTGAAAGGACGCTCAACGCACGCACTGCGATTAACCGTGGGGAAGGACAGCTGACGCGCGCGCTGCGATTAATCGCGCGGGAAAACAGCTGACACACGCGCTGTGCTGGTTGGGATC